AGGGACCAACCCCTGCATGTCCTTGTGAGTGTTTTCAGTCTAGAATTCTAACCTCCTTGAAATCATGAAAACACATTTTTTCTTTGATTCATTTTATCTAAATGTCTTGGACAGTTACATAAATGGGTTTGTTGATAATAACTATGAACATGTTTTCTTTTAAACTATCTCCATGATGAGCATTTGGTGGATTTAGAAAGAGTTTTTGCCTATTAGCAGAGGGTGTTGAAACCTGAAGGTTAAATGGATGAGATTGACTTTGAATGACCTTACTGAGGCAAGTTGTTGTGAAAAAGACTTAATATTTTCAAAAGCCTTCTATTTGATAAGACCACAAGAAGGCTTTCATCAACCAGGGCTAGCTTTTGGAAGGACACAGACTTCTATTTCCATATTGTTTATCCCAAGTTAATGAAGTTTCTAGCTTTTCCAAAGATATGCACCTGTATCCCAGGCTTGTTGGGTAGATGGGGCAGAAGGGACAAACTTATCACTGGACTGAGCAGTAAGCCTATTTGGTATCTGGCCAGACCAAAAATAATTTTTGAAGGGGGCCTCTCTTTGCCATGTTATTTCTCAGTTTTTGCTCAAATTGTTTTAGTGATTTTTTTTTTCCATTGGCATCAAGGTGAGCTACCAAAATACTAGACCCTAAGAGTCTAGTGCTGGACAGAAGAACCAGAGGAACACCCAAAGCCCTTAATCTGAAAGAATGGGTAGAAGAATTCAGAGTGTCCGCACAGATCCTTCTACCCAAGGGGGGGCCTGGTCTGAGTGCAATGGTCAAGTCCTCCTGAAACTCATCCAGAGGCAAAGTGCAGAGCACTTGGAATTCACTGAGTGTGTTTGTGTTCATGAATGAATGAATGAAAGCTTTCATTTATATTTAATCTTTCACTGGGACATATGCCTCCTTCCTGAGCTAGATCTGGAAAAACAGCTCAGAATCTGGCCATTGGTAACTTCATATTGTTCAAAGCCCCCAGTACCTTTTTGAGTTTGACCAATGACTCAAGGAAATAATCAGCAAAATCTCTCCTAATCCCATCCATTAACCACTCCAAGGCCAGTTTTGTGACACAGTTAATTACAACCCCCAACTCTAGGGGGTGGAGAAACCAGCAAATGAAGCCCCAGATACCACTGAATGTGCTGAACGGTCAAGGGAAGAGCTTTGTCTGTCTTGTCCTTGAAAAGATACCCCAAAGACAGCTGTATTTAGGGGGGTGGGAAGTTTTTTTTTTGTTGTTGTTTTTTAGAGAGATGAAGGGCCCATGACTTAAGGATGGGAATCTTCTCCTCTAGCCAATGGACCAGCATCCTCAGGGCATTACCCTTAAGACCCCATTCTTATAGATTTGTCTTGTGCTATTTACATCAAGAAGGAAAGACCTATCTTGGCAATGGGTAAAAATGACAGGACTTGTAAGCTCTTACAGGTTTTTGGAGGCATTTCACTAATGACAAGACAAAGGAAATTGGAGAGCTAGGCTAATCACTCTTGCCTCATTCTTAAAGTGGACTTGCTCCTGCCACCACAAGGACTCAAATATTGACATAGTATAGTCCAGTGGCTAAAGTGGTCTTTCTGAGGAGAATGGTTCAGGATACTTCTGCTCTGTGTTAGTGCTCTACCTTCTCTAGTCTATCATTTCCAGGCTTAAAGATCAATGAATGGTTTCACTATTTAAGATTCCAGTTGAGGTGGAGAAGGCAAGAGTGTGAATTTGTGGGGAGGAAGAAAGGAAGAGCAATCACCAGCTATCATATGTCATGGGAGTTAATTAGCAGGAGATAGATGTGGAATGGAGTGACACTGTCTTTTCCATACCAGTGACTCTTAGAAGGAAGACTGGAAGTAGGCAGCAGGGTGTGTGGGCAGTAGGAGTAGCCAGATCAGCTATAGAAAGACACATTGAAGGGAGAGCTCTTGATTTACCAGTAGTGTAAACCAGAAATAGATACTGAAATGTCAGTTCCAAATGAAAGAAACCCAGAGGAGCGTTTATATGTGAATAGAATTACTAGAGAAAACAGAGAGGTCTGCAGGAAGGAGGGGAGATTGCCAAGTTCATTGGAGAGCTGGGAGTGAGAAAACTTTGTTTTATGTGGTGAGCACAGATGGTAAAAAACAGCTCTACCTCTTTCAGAGTGACAGTAGTGACCTCAGAGAGATGAAGAAGATGCCTGCCAAAAGCCAAGTGTCTGAGTAGTAAAGTTTTATAAAGTACATGGTGCGTATGCATTTTATAAAGTATATTTTGTGAGGAAAGTGTGATGTGAGTGTGTTTTTAAAGACTGTTTATGCAACTAGCACTTGTATGTAGACTTTTGTTTTCTCAAACTGGCCATATCTGACTATGTGAAGCTCAAAATAAAATAGGTACATTGGTGTGTGTACAACTTCCTGGAGTATTCTCTATATTCTCTGTCTTTCTCCTCCCACCACACACACACAGACACACACACACACACACACACACACACACACACAAGCAAAATTGTTTTGTAAAAGTTCAATGGTTTTCACTTCTTGGAAGTTGGGTGTTACCAGTTTGTTCATTGCCTTTCTGGGAAGAATGAACTACCTGGTCAAAGATAAAAATATTGCCAAAGTGTCTTGTCTCTTACATTGCTGAAAGACCCAAGGGTAAACTCTGTTATATAATTGACAAAATGTTAGGACCAGTTGTTAAATGCTTTCTCAGGGGTTTAAATGAAACTTATAACTTATCCACTGACCACATTTTTCTAATTAAAATATATTAGCATAATACCAAATATGATTGTGAGTATCCACACAAATGAGTCATCAAAAGAATGTGTGATTTTCACATAAATATTGTTTCTGTCACTAATTTAATTTTAAATGAAATGTGTGTAAAAAATAAAATGCTTTCTGTATGTTCAATATTCACACTTAATCAAATATCAGTACTTTTTATAGAAGCCCCTTAAAGGACTCTGTGTTTGTCTTTCCCTCATTCTCTGCTCCCTTCCAGGGCCTCTGTTCTTCTGAACACCACAGTGTCACAACCCAGAGTCACCATGTCAAAGAAACTTGACCTTCCTTTGGCCCCAAGATGGACAGCCAGGGTTTTCTTCCGATTTTGAACTTAGAACCAAATGGAGTATAAGGAAGATCCCTTTCATGTCAGAAGCTGTGGAATGTAAATTTTGAAAAGTGTCAGTAGCCATAGTTCGAGGCCTATATGGGAAACTACAAAAGTGAGCAAGACTGAAATTGACATCCCAAGAAGAATAGAGAACATAGAGGAAAGTTCCAAGCATCTTGGTTGTATACGTCAATAAAGACCACTTGTCCTAGGTAGTTATTATTTGGGGTTTTGATCATTTAAATCAAGTATTCTATTCAGAAAATTTGGCAAAGTCCTAGGTATGAATATGAAAATAAATACTGGAACAGATTTTTTCAAGGAACAGTAATTAGAAATATTATCTCACAGCCAGACCTATCCACTGCATGATGCATGGTCAATACATATATGATTGACCATAACCTACAAGCATGGCTTTAAAATATAATAAATTCTTTCACATTCCTCCTCCTCTCTTCCTAAGGTGATATCTAATTCTTTCTCCCTTTAAATATGGACTTGACTTAGTGACTTGCTTTTAATAAATAAAATATGGTAGAAAAGATGTCGCATGAATTCCAAGACCAAGTCTGAAAATAATCACCTGTTTTTCTCTCTCATGGATCACTTGTTCTGGAAGAAATGAACTGCCAGGTCAAGCAGCCTGGAGAGAGCACACATGGAGAGAAACTGAGGTCTCCTGTACCAGCCTGGCAACCATGTGCTTGAGCCATCTTGGAAGTGGATACTCTGGTTCCATTAAATCTTCAATGGCTACAGCTCTGCTAAATATCTTAACTGCAGTCTTATGGGAGATCCTCACCCAAAACTACTCAGTTAAGTCCTGACACATGGAGATAATAAAATGTTTATTGTTTTAAGTCACTATATATATGAAAAAATGCCATATAATAATAATAAATAATACTATGTTCAAGATTAAAAGAAATTACTCTGAAGATATTAGTAAATTATCTTCAGTAGTAAGTAATGACAAGAGATATTAAGATAACCAACACAGATAGGAAGGGAGGAGGAGGAATGTAAAATAATTTACCATATTTTAAAGCCATGATTGTAGGTGATGGCCAATCATACATGTATTAACCATTCATCATCAATTGGAGTTCATGGATTAGAAGTTTGACCTTCTGTAACTAAGGTTCTGGTGGAAAACAGTTACTAAGTAAATGGGAACAGAATAATTCTAAAAAGAAGATAATAATGTAGTAATCCAAATACACAGTTTTAGAGTCAAATACAGATTCAAATTTTGATTCATTAATGTCTATTTGAATTTACTACTTACCCATCTTCTTGGGTTATTATTTTGATGTAGACTCAGGCTTATAAAAGTATACAAAAGATATCAAAAAAGAACTGATGTACTCTTCACCCAGCTTCTCCCAATGTTAAAATTGTGCATAAGAAAACCCAACACAAACATCCCCAGTAAAAATATAGGAGTCTAATACCAGGTCCATGAATAATTCTTCCCACAAATGACTCCAATCTCAATTTGTACTCCTAAGAAATATATTCCTATTGCTTCCTTGTTCCCTTTTTGCTTTTTCCTTGGTCCTACTTTTTTCAGGACACCTGCGTTATTCTTTTTGCCCTACTTTTTGTTCTTTTCCATAGCAAATTAACCAATCCAAGCTTATTTCTCTCTTAAAAAGTTACAATAGGAACAAAGAAGACAGTGTGAAGTTTCTCAGTTTCTGCCTTTCAAACCTTTCGCATACAAAATTTCCAAAATGAACTTTCTTCATCGACTATGTCCACAACAAGAAAATTTGAGAAATCGATCATAAATTTCTCAGAAAAAAAAATAATAATTCAAGAGACATTTATCTTTTAAAGAAAATATTCTTTTTATTACATAACATGGAGGAAATTGTTTTTGAAACTTGAACTCAACAATTCAGAGCAGAAGAATGAATATATCAGCGACATCATATGTAAATGCTGGTTGTTCTGTCTCCCCAGCTGGTTGTAAAGTCCTTGAGAGTAAAGACTGCATGAACTCACTGTTTCCTCTGTATCCAACACAGTGCCTGTCACATAAAAGAGATGTTGATTGACTTCAATGTCATAGACAGGTTTCCTCTTAAGTATCCAATTTTTCAGTAACTGATGCAGAATTTGAATAAGATATCTAGCTTAAAAAGTTTAATAAAGGATCATTTTGAAAGCTTAGAAGTCAAGGCCCAATTGTTAGGTAAATGAACAGATCTCTCCACCAGCACACTTGGGTGAGCATTCGGTGGCCAAGCCAGCTCCCCATAATCCCTTGTCCTTCACTGCCATGGTCCTCTTTCAGGTCTTTCAATATGGTCTATCCCTTGGTAATTTTGTCTTCACATCTGGCTGCAAAGCAGAACACAGCAAAACCAGCTCACTGTCTGGTTGCACTACCGGCAAGCCAACAGTTCTTATTTTCTTCTTTGAAGGTCTTTTTAAAAATTCATTACTGAGATGAAATAAAAGGGAGATAGCAGAAACAAATACAATGAAATAGTCAGGCCTAAGAAATTTTGCATAGTTCTTAGGATCATGTCCCAAGTTCTTTATTCTAATTTGCTATCCAGAAAGAGTCCCCTGCCCTTTGTTGGGCCTCTCAACCTGCACTGCATTGTGCTGTGCTTAGTTTGCTCCCTGAGGTTCACATGGTATCCAACGCCTTCCTGGAAGGTCTTGTTCATAGTGGAGAGAGGATTCTGCAGTATCCACACTTAGACATTTTTTAGTAAATAGTTGCTGAATTAGCAAATGACTGAATCCTTTGGCAATGTTTTTTTTTTTTTAATAGACCTAACTGATGAGTGAATGCCATAAAAACATTGCCAAAGTAACAGAGTTAGCAAGGGAGGGCAGCTGGGGGGACAAATGTATTTGGGAGGTGGCACAGGAGAGGCACAGGCCAATCGTTTATGCTGTAAATGCAGGACATTCTCTGCGGAGTTCAACTTCCCCACATAGTAATTATGTGTCATGCTGTGTACATACTCTATAGCTTATTTCTCAAAACATATTTGTGGGCACTTCTTGCCAGTGTTATTTTCATAAGACATGTGCCACATAAATGACCAGGAGCAGTCACAAGCAAAACCCACCAAGTCCTGTTCTGTGTTTATCCTCTCTTTGCTAATGTATGCAAGACTGAAGAAAAGTGAACTCATACTTCTCCCATTTAGAATAGAATTTTCTAAGTTTTCCAGTTAGCCTACAAGCAATCTGCCCTGCTTCTGTGGCGTTATAAGCCAGAAGAGCTGCTCTATTTTGTGTGTATGTGTCGTTACCACTCTCTTGGCACGTGGTAAGCATATTTTTTTTGACTCTCTCTTTGCTGACATGAGCTACAGAGCCCAGTTGAGAAAACCCTCTGAGAAAACAAACAAAAACTCACCAGAACAAATTAGGGATAGGGCAACTTGGAAGCCATGTGAGTGTTGTGAAACCATCAGAACACCAGGATTTAGGATGCTCTTTTAGAGTTCTTTAGAATTTCTGGGAACATGAGGGAGAAAGGGTTTTGTTTTTATGAAAAGTTGTTCCATGCCTCATGGCACGAAGGAGCACATGAAGACTGGAGATTAGGAAAACATTTTCAGCAAGAGCTGCTGTGGCAGCAAAAGTCTAAAAATTGCGTTTTCACAGCTCTATCAGAATATGCAAAAAAGTCTTGTCCTTATCTATTTTATGACATTAAAAATGACTTAAGGCAATTGACACTTCTATTTCCTCCAAGGGAAAAAATAGATTCTATAGCATTTAGACATATATCTGCGCATAATTGCATTAAATCCTCATTTCCACTGGAATACACTGTGTATTAAAGCTTGCCTGATGGACTTTTCTTTTTCTTTCTTTTATTCTTTCTCTCTCTCTCCTTTTTTTTTTTCCCTCAGTACTGGGGATTAAATCCAAGGTCAATCTATCTCTCTGCTTGAGCGACATCCTCAGCCCTTTTTAGTTTTTATTTTGAAAAAGTTTCTTGTAAGTTGTCAAGGCTGGCCTCAAATTTGAGATTCTTCTGCCTCAGCCTCCAGATCACTGGGATTACAGGCAGGCATCACTACACCCACACTTAATATATTTTTGTTCATTCCCTCAACATTTATGGAACTTTCATGAAGTGGCAAGCACTGATCTCTTATGGGGTATGCAGAGTGAAAAGGAGAGCCAGGGTCAAATGAATGAAAAATCAGGCTGGGGTTGTGACTCAGTGGTAGAGTGCTCAAATAGTACCCTATGAGGTACTGGGTTCGATCCTCAGCAACACATGAAATAAATAAATAAAATAAAGGTATTGTGTCCAACTACAACTAAATATATAATATATATAATATTTATTTTATATTTATATATAAAATATAAAAAAGGAGAGAGAAAGAATAAATAAATATTTATTTTACGAATATATATTTTATATTTATATATTTATATTTATTTTATAAATCTGTTTTTAAAATATATATATAATGTATGTTTATATTATATAAATAATATATATTTTAGAAACAGATTTAAATTTCTATCAAGAAAATATAGGGTAGACACATAAAGAATCGAACCCCGTGCTCATCTCACAACTTATTTTTATCTGCAAACACAACTGGGGTACATTTCAGTACTTCACTTAGATGACCTGGATATTAGCCATGTAGAATATGAAATAAGACTTAGGGAAGATTATAAAGATTGTGAAGTAAACAATAGGATGTGGGAATGAATATAAACCTTATCTTTATAGGTTAACTGTATTTGGATGCTGTGGGTGAACATTTAAAGAAAAATGAAACAGAAAAGAATTTCAGCGATCAAGAGACATGTAGAGCAGATTTTAGCAGACCTAAGAAGTTCTAGCCAGGCTGGGCCTGACTGTTCTTAAATAGTCTAGTGTGGCTTCTGGTATAGAGCTATTATCCCCAAAGAGAGTTGCGAGTAGGGCTGGGATTGAGGCT